ATTCATGACTGAAAAGTGAGTTTATGGATTTTGGAATTTCGGATTGGGGTACTCAACCCGTACCACTATAGTCTACAAGCCAATTGCAGGCGTAGAACGAAGACCATATTATACTCTGAATATTTTGGTCATGTTGTTTGGCAGGTGGAAATATGTTCCGCTGATCGTAGTCAATGTTAATAGCTTTTGTCGTTGTTCATCAGTTCTTTCTGTGACTGTTAGGCAGGAAGGATCAGTCGGTAGGCATCATATTCTGCAACTGAGAGTCAACTTGCGATACGAACGTAAGAGTAAAAACGGCATAAAGCACTTTGGAAGATTTGATATTATTTTTACTGGACAGTTTCCCTTGTACTTGAATTTGATGGTATTGGAGCTGTGCTGTTTTAATTCTAGCGTTTTATGCGAACAATGTGCTTTAGGCTTTACAGCTGTCTTTAGCTAGGCGACATGGCACAAGAAACAAGGAATAACAAGAAATAAGACCATGGCCAAATAGATATTGGCACAATCTGAGGTCTGCGATGTAATTATAAGAGCGAAGTTGAAGTAGCGGTCAGCTGGAGACATGCAAGTAGAATCGATCGTCCCTAGACTAGAGATATTAGACTCGGTTTTAATTGATTGTAGCCGCACTCCAAACATATGATGAGTTATGCATGGAATAATTCTTTCGCGCATTGGTAATCAATACGGATAGTAAACTATACTTACATGAAAATATCCCAGGTATATTAGGCTTACTGGCAAACTGCTGGTTTTTGATGCCGCCTGCAAGAATAACATTTACCTGTCAAATTTACACCACGTAGTTGCATTGTCTCTCTAGAAGACTGTCTGAGCAGGCTCCGAGACGGCTGCTCTGTTGTTTCAGCACGTGCAGTGCAATAGTGCAAAACCACATTTTTGAATTTTCAGCGCAAATATGGGGGGTTATTTTCATGTACATATTCATACGGATGGTGGCTTTTTGATGGCTGTTCAAACAGATGAACAGTGATTCGGTTTTGTATCTCTGCACTGCAGGTGGTAAAATACCATGGAACCTTAACGTGCCTAAACGGACCCTTAGGCCACTAGAAACAAGCGGAATGTGATATTACGCCTTGTAAATCCGGATAAATGATAGAAGAACGAATTATCTTTACTGTGGTTATCGGTACAGCGGGATGATATATCTGGTTTCACACAACCACTGATATTTCATGGATAAACACTGGACTGATACTTATGTGAATGTCAGAGGGCTTCCTTCAGCTGAAAGTAACAATGGACA